TAAAAATACCCCAGGTTGGGTTGAGCGAGCGAGATTTTGGGGATACTTGTTACACCCCTAGAGCCTCGCTGGACCTGCCCAGAACATAGCCAGTCGGTGTCCGTGGAGTGCCTTCTCCCTAGGGGGCCATATTCTAGGCATGTCTGTAGGTTGGCTCATCTCGTCCTCCCAACAGCCTGAAAGGTAGGAAATGTACTCGCATTCTCCCCAGTTTGTAAAGAAGGGTGCTGAAGGTCAGAGAGAGAGAGAGAGGGTCAGTGACATGCTCAAGTTCAGCTAGTGGCTGAGGCAGAATTTAACTAGTGTGTAGGACCAACACCAGTGGGCTTAAGTAATATCTCATATCTAATAAATAATCATTAGGCTACACTGCTACGGGCTTGGGTAACAAGTCCCACACCCCTCAAAGACTGAAAGAAATCTGATGTGTCCCAGCAGGGGGTGGTTGGGGAGACGAAGCCCGGTGAGGGAAGTCCGGTGTTCTCGCCCGCTACCACACGTCCCCTCCCAGGACCTACTGAAGGTCCGTGGCTGAGGCTGCTGGGATATCCTTGTACTATGTGAGACAACAGTAGTAGAGGACTCCTCGCTGGTCTGGCAGCAACAACAGAAGATCTTTGACGCCATGTCTTGATGGGCTGTGGGAAGAGGAAAGGGCATTGGGGCATCTGGCTCTGTAGCCCCAATCCCAGAAGCCCATTGTTATTTAAGCACTGGGTCATACAGGGCCAGCCTCTCCCAAGATATCAAGCCCCTTCCCCTCCCAAACCTCCTGTAGCTCCCTGGGGCTGCTATGTCCAGGCCTACCTATGTCTGACCAGGCCTTCCACTCTTGTCCATGGTTGTCTTACCCATAGAAAGGAGTTGGAGCCTTGACCCTGCCAGCCTTGTCTTGTAGGGGTGCCTTGTTAAATCAGCAGATCAGCTGATAACACAGCTCAACCTCGCTCGTTCAAGTCCTGGCTCTGCCACTAATTTGCTATGTGGCTTTGGGCTTATCCATGTCTATCTCTGGGCCTAGGCACCCATCTAACAGGCAGTGGTTGGGCTGCACCATTTCTCCAAGGAGATACCTCCAAGCTCTGATGACCCAAAGTTGCACATCCTTGTCTTATTCCCAAACTTCTTTCTCTCTTCTGGTCCTCTGGTCCTCTCCTGTTCTCATCTCCCTTTCCCTGTAGCCAAAGACCCACTCCGGGGAATTTCCATCACGGCGGCTGTATCCACTCCCTGCACGTTGGGTTCATTCCAGGGCCTCCCCCTTGGGCACTGACTTCTCACCTCTTCCGGCCACTACCCTGTCTCACCTGGGTCATTGCAGTGGCCTCCTGATGGGTGTCCCCGCTTCTTCCGCCTTGGTCTTCATTAGTGTCAGCACGGCAGTATTCTCTTAGGATGTAAGTCATGTCATGTCTCACCTCTGCACGAAGTCTCCCCGTGGCAGATCATAGAATCAAAGTTGAAGTCCTTCTCTGATCCTCCACTGAAAAAAATCTATAATCTCAGTGCTACCTTCACCCACCCCTCCCCTGCTATCTCCTCCCACCCTCCCCTTCCTTCTGTCCCAGCTGCTCCTTTGGCCTGGGATGACCTTCCCTGGAGATCCACGGAACTCATCCCTCCCCTCCTCCAAGGCCTGGAGTAGAGGTCACCTTTTCTCGTGAGGCCTTCTCTCCCTATTTAGGCCTATCTCCCCTATTTATTTCTCCCTACTTATTCCCCTACTTCCCCTAAATAAACTCTTTCTTTCCCTCCCATGTCCCCCGTTTGGGGATCAGGTCCCTCTATTCACTTTGTGTGGAGTCAGAGAAGGGGACCCCCCCCCCACCACTGGCCTCTGCCTCCCCTTCCTTCCACATTCAGTCATTCATCAAGGCATTGTGATCCTACCTCATGAATATCTCCTCCATTGCCTGCCAACCTCCACCCCCTGCCCTGGCGGGGACCCCCATGACATAGCTTCCCTGCTGGCCCCTGGCTCACCTACAAGCCGATCTGTCTCCTGTGCCAATCCCATCATCATCCTCAGCCTCAGTCCCTCATTGGCTCCCCTGTTCTACTACTTGAAACTACTTTGTGGTCTGGCTCTGTCAGCTCTGCCAGCCTCATTCTCTCCCAGCCTGGCTCCTTGCCCTCCAGCTGTAGGTGTTTCCGGCAGCGCCCCAAACTTGCTCTCCGTGTGTCACCACTGTGCCTTTGCACAAGCTGTTCTACCTCCGTGTTTTCACTCCCTCACCCTTCCCCTGGAGACTCAGCTCAGGGGCTGCTCCCTCCTGGAAGCCGTCTCTTCCAACCGGGAGGAATTAGGGGCCTCTCTTGTGTTCCCACAGATCCCTGGGCTTCTGTGGGTCATGGCCATTGTCTGTCCTTCCATAAGCGCATAGCAGGTGTTCAATAAATATTTGTTGACTGGACACTATTTTCACTAGCTGCTTAGTTGTGAGAGTCTAGATTCCAGTCTGTGATGCTAAAACTTGTCCTGCATGTATTTGTTGAGGACTACTGGTGCCAGGCACTAGGTGAAGGACATGGCAGTGAATGTGAGCGAGAGATTCTCGCTCTCCGGGGGCAGGGCAGGGTTGCGTCCAATTCACCTTTGCATCCCAGCACCAAGCACAGGGCTTTGCACGGAGTGAGTGCTCTCTCAGTGTGACCGGAGTCCACACACAAGCCCTCTCTGACTGCTGGATGATAGACACACCATTAACTCTACTGTCCCTTCCACTAACAGACATTGTACTCCCTGCTCATAGAAATGGATAGAAACATCCTGATTCTGTACCGACCTCATTGTCCCCGGTGGGAAGTTAACAGGGCAGAAGGAAGAGCCGCAGGGTCCCAGACGCTGACCTTCACTGTGCTTCTTGGACAGGTCCTTTGACATCTCTGAGCTCATTTACCTTTTCAGATGGTGGAACGGAGCCCCATGAAAGTGCCTGTCGGGTCTCACAGCCAAGAGGTGCAGCTGGGGTTTTAACGTAGTTTTGTCTGGTTCCCGAGGCTCTGTGATCCAGGGCCTCACCTTGGCACTTCCAGGGGCAGAGAGATGTTCAGAAATACCATCTCCTTCCCGGAGAGTTGATAGCAGGTGGCTTTTAAGGGGAAAGGCTCCCCTGAAGCTCGGCAGAGCAGTGTAGCAGTTAAGAGCGTACATTTTATTACTGAGATTAGTTGGGATGTAATTCTTGCCTCACCTTGCTGGGTCATTTAGAGCAATTTAACCTCCTTGAACCTCAGCTTTCCTATCTGTAAAATGTGGATGGTAAAACCTACCTCAGAATGTTGTGTGAGGATTGGGTGGTGTAAAGGTGTGACGAGCTTAGCTCAGTGTCTGGCACGTGGTAAGTGTTTCATAACAGGCGGGGATGATGTAGGAGAGAAGCAGGCTGGGGCAGGGTGGGTGCGATGTTGCTTGCACTACCACTACCCGCCTCTAGATGGAGACAGGAGCCAGAGAAAAGGGCCTTTGGGTTATGCCCAGTGGACTGTGAACCTCAGGTGTCCAGTGACTCATAGCACTTGGGCCAGACCTAGAAAGACCCAACAAGGTCCAACGGGAGGGCTTCTGGAGCTGGAGGAGCCCCTAGGGCTCATCAAGCACAAGTGGGGAGGCTGGGGCTCAGAGACAAACCGTGGGGTGAAGGCAAGTTAGGGGTAGTGTCTGCTTCCTATAGCAAAGGTGTCCAGGAGTGATGGAGACATTGTCCCCTTAAGTACAGAAAAAATACCCACTTCTGGTCTTAGATCTAACCTTTGAGGCTGACTCACCTGCAGCTGGCAGAGCAGAGAGGAGGCTGTGATGTCACAGAGCCAGGGAACCAGGGAATGCTGGGAGCAAAGGGGTTTGACTGGACCTCAACATCAGGGAGGAGGGGAGGACTGGATCCTCTCTCCAGTGGTCCTTCCCTCTGTCCGCAATGCCGTGATCTCCACCATGCCCATCAGATTGGCTCGGTGGTCCTGCCTCATGGATCTCTTATCTATCCTAGAATAGTATGCTAGCTGGGCACGTTCTTCTCAGGGGGGGTTCTAGACACTTAAACTAGTGAGCGAAAGTTTGATGAGCAATGGGAGATTCACAGAATCTTTCCCCAAATGACTCATTCATTCCAAAGGGAAAGACAGTCATTTGCCGTGGAAAAGGCTGGCAGCAAAAACCACCTTAAAACAAGAGATCTAGTTAATGTCACCAATGGCAGGACCTACCTCCACCATGTGTCTCCTGATAGGATGCACTGGGGAGGATGCAGTGTCCCTTCTGTGGCCTTCCTGCCACACAGGCAAAACTGGTATATCAAACACAAATTGAGGGATGCTTTATAAGACAATCATGTCTGTGTGCCTCAGAAATGGGGAACTCATGGAGGACAGAATTGTTCCAGATTAGAAGACACAGAGGGGACATGATGACATGGGACTCATGATATTGGATTTGATCTTGTACTGAGCATCAAAGCAGCTGGAAGACATTGGGGGGCAATTGATGATAATAGTATATTAGTGTTGAATTTCATGTTTTCGAGAACTGTCCTGAAGTTATGTAAGGGAATATCGTTGTTCTTAGGAAATGCACACTGTAGTATTTGGGGGTGGTGGGGTCTGATGTGCACCACTCGCTCTCACGTAGTGCAGAAAAAACTAACAGGAAGAGGGAAAAGACAGGCTAGAGCAAGTGGGGGAGGTGTAAACAACTGTGAAATCTGGGTAAAAGGTAAATGGGTTCTTTGTCCCTATTGCAACTTTCCCGTAAATTCAAGATGATTTCAAAACGGGGGGGCGGTGGGCGCCTGGGTGGCTCAGTGAGTTAAGTGTCTGTCTTCAGCTCAGGTCATGATCCCAGGGTCTTCGGATCCAGCCCCTATCGGGCTCTCTGCTCAGTGGGGAGTCTGCTTCTCTCTCTGCCCCTCTACTCCTGCTCTCTCTCTCTTTCTAATAAATAAAATCTTAAAAAAAGATAACTTCAAGATGAAAAAAAAATCTATCCATAAGGCTTAAGTGTTTTGTTTTAGCTTAGTTAGATGGGACCATGTATTTAAAAACAGTAAGACATTTGAAAGAGCTACTCCCTGGTGAGGAGGGGGAAGGAGGAGACACAGTCCCGTGATATCACCAAGGGCTTTAATTGGAGGCAGCTCCCCCCACAGTGGCTTTTTCAGGAGCCGAAGGAATTCTTGCTGGTGGCTCAGAGGTGGCTCAGACTTCTTCTCCTCCTCTGGGGGAGTTTCTGAATCTGTCTTCATGGCCCCCGCTCACCGCCCCCTTCTTCCCGGAGCACCTCCAGCAGCATGCAGTCCTGGAGGCCTGCCTGGGAGCTGCAGACTAGAATGGTCAGGGTCTCCCTATGTGGCATGGCTGGAATGGCCAGTGGTCCTGAGAGTAGCGGTTTAGGTTTCTCTTGTAAAAACCTCTTGGGCACACACGTGTATTCCATTCTAAAAGAAGAAAGGAAGAAATTATGATGCTGGGTGGAAACTTTGCACTGGGCTTGGATGGCCCATCCTGGTCACCTCCAGCCCTGAACACGATCAGATTCTGCAATACTGGGTGAGTCACATGGACCCCAGGCTGGGACTCAGAAGTCCTTTGTGACAGGTACACGTGTCCATAGGTTCATTGGTGTATCCAATGAAGACCAGGGGACTTTCAAAGAGCAGTGGCTTGGGAAGGGAGAGAAACGGGCCCATCCTGCTTCTAACACCAACCTTACTTCCCGATGGACTTTTGGAAAGTCCCTTTCCCTGTGGGCCCCAGTCTTCTCTATACAATGGAAGGTGGGTTTTTAAACTGTTCCACGGAGCCCTGTGGGGGTTGAGAGGCACAAGGAGGGAGGGGCGGAGCTCGCGGGGCTCCAAGGCCCTACCTTGGATTCAAGAGCAGGAGAAACCCCTCTGGACTTTAATTGCAATTGGACTTTATGTGAAACTGTTTGCAAGGGAGGTGTAGTTGTTTTGAGAATTCTGTGATGTCTGCGTGGGGCTGGTCCTTGGCTCTCAGAGGCAGGCCTCCCAGGGTGCTAGTAAGCTAAGCCGGGTCACCCAAGTAGTGTTGGTGCACAACCATGTGGTCTTGTTTTTTCTTTCTGGACTGGGCTTCTGTCCTTCTTCCATGACCCTGAGGTGTTTTGCCCCCTGCTGAACTACCCTCTAGTCCACAAGCATCTTCTGGCATGCACCTGGCTGGGTTTGGGGGTGCACAGCTGTCTTCCTGGGACTTCCCCTCTAGTGGCCAGTGCAGACACGAGCTTAGCAGAGAAGCCTGGATATGTGTCCTTTCCTCCCAGACCTGCAGCTCCTCATGTAATTCCTAGCTCGGGAGATTACACAGGCAGGTCTCAGAATAAGACTGCAGCTTCCTGGTGGGAGTGGTCCTGTCTCTCCTGTCACCCCATTTGGCTTAGCTCACATATCGTGGGATTTAGTCATCGGGACCATGGGGGTTCCTGGTCTGTGTTAGGACCCCTGTTCGGGACTCACCTTCATACTCGTTGTTGCTGGTGGAAGAGGCTTTCTTTTCTGGGTGGATCAGAGGTTGTCCCAAAGGCAAGCCGGAGGCTTCCTTAGCATGCTTGGAACTTCTGCTGGACAGCTCCCCCTTCTGCAAGCCTGATGGTGATAATTCCACACCGTTAGGCGGGGAGGGTCAGGAAAGGTGACGGAGGTGAAGGTGTGGTTCTGATGGGGTGGGGGCCACCTGGGTCTCCCTCCCCCGGTCTGAACGCACGTGCTGGGTTCAACATAATATATAATTTTTCCAAAACATGAAGTTTACCTTTTTCTCTGTTTATAAATGTGAGTACATATCTGTAATGAATATTACAGAAAAGATACAAAATATTGAAGAGTATGAAGCAGAAATAGAAATGCCCCAAATACCTATTCCTTCAGATGTGATCACAGTTCCTGTCTTTTCTCGTGCATATTTTTTTTTTAAAGATTTTATTTATTTGACAGAGAGAGAGAGAGAGATCACAAGTAAGCAGAGAGGGAGGCAGAGAGAGAGGGGGAAGCAGGTTCCCTGCTGAGCAAAGAGCTCGATGCAGGGCTCCATCCCAGGACCCTGAGATCATGACCTGAGCTGAAGGCAGAGGCCTTAACCCACTGAGCCACCCAGGCACCCCTTCTTGTGCATATTTTTATAGAACCCATTATATCCTACATGTCATGTATACATTCTACTTTTTTTCATATACGATGTATCAGAAACATTTTTCTCAGGTCACTAAATTTTAAGAAATAATGGTTGTAGAATATTCTATTTTGCAGATAATTCAAGAGTCATTTAACCAATATTCCTTTTTTGGGGGGGGGTGTTTAGGTTGTTTTCACTACATAAATACCGTTACGGTGAATGTGGTTGTACAGAAGACTTATTTTTTTATACAGACTTCTAAATTCTTAAAAGTAGAGCAAAAGATTGAGCTGTATCCTGTAACAAATACCTCCGTCCTTTACTAAATGCGTAACTACAGCAAATCGCTTCCCTCCTATGCCTGTTTTCAGAGCTGCAAAACGACACGTCCATTTTGGATAATCACGTCCCCTTCTTAGAGTCATTGTGAGGATCAAATCATATCGCTGTTCTCCTGTGTCTGCTCTGAAACAGCGGGGGGGACTTACCTGATCACAGCCGGGTCCCTAAATGCCTAGACGTGCCTTGCACATAATAGGGACTCAGTCACCAGCATGGTTATTGACTTGGAAAAAGGGATTGACATTTTTAAGGTTCTGGGTTTTTATTGTGAAATTATTTCCAGGGGGAGTATTTGAAAGACCCTCCGGATGGATTTCTGGCAAAATTTGCCACGAGAATTTCTCTCCTGCTGTTGAATGGCTCCATCTCTTAATGGGACTGTCCTTACCACCTCACGGGTCTCCCTGCCTGTTGTTTATGGGTTTGGATTAGGAAGCCCCCATCTGATTTTTGGTTGGAATTAGCACTCAGAAGCTGAAGGACATTTGAGGGAATCTCAGCAGAAGGGGAGGAACACAAGGAGGTCTAGAGAGGTTGGGGTGGGGGGGGTTGTTACTGTCTGGTACCCACTGCAGTTCGATGGCTGATGCTCTTGGGTTTGGCTGGGGACCTTGGAGTCGTCCATGGTGTGGGGCTCCTCACAGTCTCTGCAGCATAAGCAGAAGATCTTCGAGGCCAGGTTTTGGTGGGCTGTTGGAGGAGACCAAGGAATGGGGGCCATTGGAAATTCAGCGTGATGGGGGTCATACTGGGTCAGCCTCTCCCAAGATAGAATAGCCTTCCCTGCTCCCAAGACCCACACCCTTCTGTGTAGGTTGCCCTCTCTTAGAATGACTTTCCCCATTCTCTACGGAATTTTCTCACCCATGGAGATGAGTTGAAATTTTACTCTGCCAGCTCTGCCTGGAGGGGGCTCTTGGTTGAATCAGCTGGTCTTGACTTGGAGCCCAGTTCCCGGAGCAGGACTGTTTTCCTAAATAAACATAAGACTGTGGATGAAAAACGCTAGTCCTTTACCTGTGTTCGCACTCTAGGTAGAATCCCCTGACCACAAAATCCCGGCTTATGCCAACCCACAAACACGCTCTACCCCATTTCTAGGTGCGTATTCTTGGGTAGATTTGTTAACCTTCTGGAACCTCAGTCTTTTCATGGGGAAAGGGGGAATGAAGAGTCTGCCTGCAGAAGTAAAGGGTTAAATATGTGACAAGTCACCCCCCCCAACCCCCGTGGTGCTTGGCACACGATAATGCCAATAAATGCCAAGTCAATGGCCATTCCATCCCTTCTCCCTTCCCTTCATTGGTTCGTTGGCTCCAGAATATTCCAGCTGGTCTAGGTCCCAGGAGAACATGCAATGAAGCTCAGTCTTGCAGGTTTAGGTCCTGGTTCCGCCACTAACTTGCTGAGTGGCTGCGGGCAAGTCCGCGTGCATCTCTGAGTCTCAGGGGCTTCATCAAGGAGAAGAGGAAGTTGGGCTAGATGGTGCCTTTATGGATCTTTCTGGTTCTGTTGGTCCAGAATGATAAAACCTTGTTTTATTCCCAAGCTCCTTTGTCTCTGGATACTTCCTGTTCTCACTCCCCCTTCCGTGGCTAGACCCCCTTTTAGGAAATTTTTACTATGGTATTGGTGATGTCCCTCACAAGACCCAGTTCACTGTGTGAGCTGCCTCACTCATGGACACTCGCTTCTCAATTTCTCTACTGCTCTCCCCTGGTCCAAGCCACCATTATCTCTTGCATGAATTAGAACAATAGTCTCCTAACATCTTTTGCTTCTTTTACCCTTGACCTCTTAAATTAATACAAAACCTTTAACTTCTGGCATGTATGCTATTTGACAATAGCACAATTTCTATATTGTGGCTAGATACATCCAGCCGACTAGACACATGAATGTCCCCATTTTGCGGGATCCTTGGACCCAAGAGGTCCTCCAGGGGTCCAGTGAGCCCCCACCTCCAACAGTCTTTGGGATTGGTTGCCAAGTGAGTTTTTCGACACGATTGGAGCTCTGATATTTCCTTGAGCTCTCTTTGATGAACTTATTGTATCTTCTCAGGATTTATAAACAGATAGAAATTTATATAAGGCAATGAGGTCTTTTGTTTTGGATATGCACCATTTAGCAAATATCCTTGCCATTAATATGTTTATTCTGCTGCTTGCTTTAATTTCAATTTCTTTCATGTAAATTCTTGCCTCGTGGGATTTTCCTTCATTCTAGATTGCCTCACATATATTGAATGTTGAAGGAAATGTTTCCTAAGGAAGGAATGGAAGCATAGGTCTGACAAGCTCTCACCACAGGTCAGCTCTGAGGACTAATGGTGGGAGGTCTGTTAGGCGGTGATCAGTGGGTATAAAGGTAATTGTTAAAACTCTGCCTTGGATTCCCACAAATCTTCATGAGCCCCTGTTCTCTCTTGTTAGCTTAATTAATGAAAGGTCACTTTCCTCAGCCCATGTTCTGGAGTGAGGATTTCCAGGTTATTGATCAGATGGCTTCTTTTAGGTTTTCTTAGGGCATGGAATTCAAGACACTACACATAACTGGGGTCAACTGTGGTGTGTCCTCTCCTGTTTGTCATGATCTCATTTACACCAAAGTTGCTGCCTCTTCTTGGAAAAACTCCTGCTTTGTATAGACACTCTCACTCTATGTCCCTTCATGTGTGTTCATACATCAATAAATGGAAAAATTTCACCAGGTGACTTGAAATTATGGGCAGTATGGCAAACCTTTAATGTCAAAAATAAGAGATTTCAGAGGGACTCTAGAAAAAAGAGAAGACAAAAATACCAAATATGCAGCAGAGAGAGCTTCCTTGATTGGTATGTTCTAGCCTCAGAAAGAAAAAAAAAAAGTACTCCTACTCAAACCTTCTGAAACCTACTTTCTTTATATCTCTTTTTCTCTCTCCACCCAGCTTTATTGTTACTACCCACTTACACTCTTTCTATTCCTTCCCGTGACTGCCTAAATAAATTCCCTTCATTTCTGTAGAAAAGAACAATCAACATCATACACTATCCCCCCAAAACCTCTATACCAGGAGGTGGGTCCTGAGAGGCTGAATTCAAATCCTGGGTAACAGAAGAGTTGAGGGCAAAGATTTAGAATCATTCCAAATTTCAGAATGACAGAAAGCGGATGTATTGAACTTGGGATTCTGTTAGTTATTCTCACCCATCTTGACCACCATATTTGTACCCATCACTTCACTTAATGGTTGACCTTCAGAGAAGGGGGAAACATGTTTAGGAGCAGCAGGATGGAAAAGGCCAGAAGATTTAAATAACCCCCTGACACATAACTCAAAAAAGTGGACTTGGGAAGAAAAATAGGAAATGTACCATCTGAAAATATTTGAAAAGTCTTCCTCTTCTGGGTAGATTGAGCAAAGATTCAAAATGGCAAACAGAGTCAAGATGAATTACTGGGAGATTTAATGTAATAGACTTCAAGACACTTTCCAAGAAATTCTAGGGCAGACCAACAGCTTAAGTAGAAGGAGGCTTCCCTTCACTCTTTGTAAAAGACTCAGACCTAAAATAGGGAACTTAGATAAAATAAATTGGAATGGGAAATGCCAGCTTAGATCTCGGGATCATCTTCAAAGAGTCCTCCAAGATTAACCAGAAATGGCCTCTTGGAGAAAACAGTTGGCTCCTAAAATAAACCAGAATCAAAACTCCTCTGTCCATAAAGAATGTGAAGCCTGTTGAAAAAGACCCTTGTATTTACTGTGAGCAGAAAGCCGTGCAAAGAACTCTCATCTCAAGTCTGCCCAGGGATGCCACCCAGCTTTATTGCCACATTCCTACCCTTCCTCTAAACTCTCAAGGGGAATTGTTGACAAATATAGACAGACAATATTGCTTGTTGACATGATTCGTTTCTTAAGTGGAAAGCACAGTCTTCAATGCCAACCAGAACCAGGACTATTCTGTGTGATGAGTACTTGGACCATTCCATGTGTACAACTCCCCAACACCTGCAGTGGACTATGTCATCTCACATGGTGTTGGAAGGAATGGAACCTTTCCGGGCTATCAAATACCAATAGGGTGGACCAGACTTCTGAGGACAGAGAGTCATCCATAGGAGCTGGACAGCCCAAGGTCCTCCTTTTCTCTCACTTTGGCTGACATAGCAAATAAGACAGCCCAAACCCTGGAGTGCAACCAATGAGCTGCAATTCCTTAGCTCAAATTCCCGTGGGTAACAGAATACCTTTGGATTTTATTTTGGTGGATCAGAGAGGGGATGCACTTCTGCTATCCCTTCATGGTATACCTGGATTCATACCACAGGTGAGGTTTCTAAGCCCCAAACAAAGGCAACCTGGCTACTAAAGCAGACACAAGGAATCATTGGAAATTTATTTTCTCAGTCATGCCTAGGAAACTGGATCACAATTCTGGAGCGCCTTCCAGACGCTTCTTTTAATGAATCTAATTATTTAACCCAATAATTAAATTCTTAATTATTATCTTTTTTCTTTTTATTTAAACTTTATTTTTTCAATGTTCCAGGATTCATTGTTTATGCACCACACCCAGTGCGCCATGCTTTTTATTTTTTTTAAAGATTTTATTTATTTATTTGACAGGGATCACAAGTAGGTAGAGAGGCAGGCAGAGAGAGAGGAAGGGAAGCAGGCTCCCCGCTGAGCAGAGAGCCCGACGTGGGGCTCGATCCCAGGACCCTGGGATCATGACCTGAGCCAAAGGCAGAGGCTTTACCCCACTGAGCCACCCAGGCACCCCAACTCCATGCTTTTTTAAATGAATATTGTTCACCCCGCATTTGGTGGCTGTGGCCCAGAGAGCCAAAGGATCTCCTGGGGCCACTGGCTCAACATATAGCTCCATAGAAGATTCAGAGAGAAAACTGAAAGACATCAGGCTAGCTGATGCTCAGACTGAACGTCAGATCACTGTCGGTGGAAAAGGGAAACTGTGTCTTCAAGGAGAGTGGTGGAATATGTGCACAGTCCCTGAAGGTCTCTCGTGAAGCTTTGGTTGAGGGAGAACAAAAGAGGTCGGCTGAGAATAAAAAAGAAGTTCCCACTCTCCTAAGACCGATTGCTCTGTAACCACGGTTAACAGCTAATCTCCAGAAACCTGTTTTAAACTTACCTGTTAATGAAACGTTGCCTTAGTGACCATTCTCCTGAAAGTACGAGATACACAATGGCAGGTACCCTTTCCCACCATTCCCAAGCAATCCTGCCTCTGAAATGCCACCTTGCATGAATTCTCCATCTCCCGGAACCCCTTGTATGACCGCCGTTAGCTTTGACTTTGTTATAAAAGCCTGATTCTCCCTTGTTGAACTGGAAATAAATTCAGTTTTTGTTTCGCACACTGAATGGAGGTCTCTTTTCTCTACAGCAACTCACAGAGGTACAAACAGCCTGGAGATCGTTCCCTATTAGCAGTGCTGCACGGGTTTAAATGTGGGTTTGTTTGAATCTAGCATTAATGCCTTCCACACTTTTACTCCAGCCAGCAATTTCATGAGAAAAAGAAGGGGAGCACAGACTCTTTCTCCTTTGAGTCTTGGTAGCAAAAAGTTTGGACTTTTGAGCCCTCTTCAGAAATGGAAAGTCTTTCAAGGAAGGTAGTGTAGCAGTTACAGGCACATTCTTTGGGGGATAATTCTTGAGGATCTACTACTTATTAAGCTATGAAATTTACAAGAATTTTAATTCCTTTAAGGCTCAGTTTTTTAATTTGTACAATGGGGATGACGATAATAGTATTTACCCTAGAAGGTGGTTGCGAGGATTAACTAATGATGGAAAGTGCTTAGCACAGCTGCCTGGTACGTTGCAAAAGTTACCTTAAAATTAAATGCTGATGCAGACCACGGTGGTGTGGAGTTGAGGCTAGCGGTGGGGGAGACGGTGCGATGCTTCCAGCACTACCACTGTCCGCCTCTAGATGGAGACAGGAGCCAAAGAAAACGGCCCTTGGGTTATGTCAGTGGACTGGGAGCCTCAGGTGTCCAGTGACTCATAGCACTTGGGCCAGACCAAGAAAGACCCAACGAGGTCCAACAGGAAGACTTCTGGAGCTGGAGGAGCACTTAGGGCTCATTCAGCATAAGCAGGGAGACTGGGGCGAGAAGACTGAAACGGTGGGGTCAAGGCAAGTTAGGGATAGTGTCTGCTTCCTATAGCACAGGAGTCCAGGAATGATGGAGACATTGTCCCTTTAAGTACAGAAAAAAATACCCCCTTCTGGTCTCAGATCTAACCTTTGAGGCTGACTCACCTGCAGCTGGTAGAGCAGAGAGGAGGCTGTGATGTCACAGAGCCAGTGAACCAGGGAATGCTGGGAGCAGAGGGGTTTGACTGGACCACAACATCAGGGAGGAGGGGAGGACCGTGGATCCTCTCTCCAGTGGTCCTACCCTCTGTCCATGAGGCCATGCTCTCCGCTGTGGTGTCCATCTGGGCACTGGAACAGAAGTCCAGAAGCCTCCCGTGGAAGCAACTCCAGGACAGCTGGTCCAGAAGGGGCAGACCAGTGTAGGACATAAGAGATGTGGGTCCACCTTCTGTCTCTGTGCACCTGCTCGGTGCTAACCTTGGGCAAATGGACTTCACCTCTCGGCTTTCAACTCTACAGAATGGAAATAGTGCTGATTACATGTCCTAGGTATACTTTTAGGATGCAGTGAGGTCAGGTAGATAAAAGACATTTAGCATGGTGCTAGCTATAGTAAGCGTTCAAGAAATAGTTGTTAATAATACGTGCAAAAATAAAGCGACACCTTCCCAATCGATCTCTCAGATAAAAGTAGAATCGCTTTGTATTTGAGTGCTCACAAAATCTCTCACCTTAAGGGGCACTCTGCCAATTCCTTTATTTAGGACAACCAGGCACTATTTGGCGAAGCCAAAGTAGGTTGAAGCGTTCTCCATCAGTGCTATCTTTGGATGCTTATAGAAGTCACTGATACACAGCCAAGCCATTCCATGCAGTTCTGTAGTCATGGGGTCAGTGGGGGAGGGACTTATGTGGGAGGGGGGCGTGACCTTACTGTTGTAAGTATTGGGTGGTGGGTAAAACAGCCTTTTGAACCTCACTTATAAAGCAATACTCTTAAGACGCAGTGTCGAAGATTCTCAAATCTGGCCGCAGATGAGATCCCGCTGAGGTGTTTTTGAAATGTAAGAATGCCCCGGAACCTAATTAAATCAGAGCTTTTTTTTGGGGGGGGAATGGGGAATGGTGCCCGGGCTTCAGGATTTTTACAAAACTTTCTGGGTGATTCTTGTGTTTAAACAAGACCGAGAACCACAGAACTACTTGGTGGAGATCTCGATGCCTGTAAACAAGTGGTTTTCAGCCCAGGCTGCACTTGGAGTCACGAGAGGAACTTGAAACAATGTCACACCCCATGTCCACTCCAGGCCAGTAAACTCACTATGTGGGCCTTGATAGTTTTTAAAGTTCCCCAGGTGGTCCCCCCAATTATAAAAATTAAGATATAGTTGACATGTAACATTGTGTAAGCTTGAGGTCAAGAACATGTTGGTTTGATACATGAATATCTGTAATGTAATTGTAATTTACCATTTTCAAATTTATTTAATATTTATTACAATATTGTAATACTGTACAATATTATAGCAGTAGCAAACACCTTTATCACACTGCATAATGATCATTCCCTTTTTTTGTGTTGAGAATGACGAAGATCTAGTCTTTTAGGGACTTTGAAGTTTATAATACAGTATGATCTTTTTGACCTTTACTTGTCTTTTTTAAAAAAATATTGTATTTATTTATTTGACACAGAGAGAGAGAGATCACAAGTAGGGAGAGAGGCAGGCAGAGAGAGAGGGGAAGCAGGATCCCCGCTGAGCAGAGAGCCTGATGCGGGGCTCCATCCCAGGACTCTGAGATCATGACCTGAGCCAAAGGCAGAGGATTAACCCACTGAGCCACCCAGGGACCCCTTCCTTGTCTTTTTAAATATGGTATGATTTTAATTCTCCTTCAGTGTTGAGAACCACTGACCTATAGAGCAAATGTAAAAAATCGAAATTTTCTTGATGTTGTATGGATGAGTCCTTTTAGCTCTTCAGGGACAGCGTCATAAATGGGTTCAAAAGCATTAATTTTCAAATAAGAAATGGAGACAATTTACTTTGGAAAGCTGTGTGAGATGAAGGCTGATGTTAAAGTTGTCTGTGAATTGTTTCAGAAAGTGGGTGAGGATAGCAGTACATCCAAATTCATGTATTTTATGTAACATGCCATTGTGAATACATGTCGTACTGGATCCCCGTAACTGGAGGTTGGTTTATTTCACCCATAGCACTGAACATTTGTCTGCGCAAGTTGGCAAAAATACTTTAAGACTTCTCTGCATGAGAAACTTGGGGATTGTGTTCTGTTTGGGTCATTTACCATTGAAAGATATATGGTATGCTTGCTTCCTTCCCTTTGGGTCTGAGTTAGGAGACTAGTCAGCAGGCTCCTCTACTGATTCTTGATCCAGGCAGAGAATCATGAAATCTTGAACTAAGACACTGGCCAGCATTGAGGGAGAGTGGATGTTGAATCTGGTGATTCCATATGTCATGGGCAATAGAGTCAGACTGCCAGGTGAGAGGTCTGTTTTAGCTTGCTGTACGACCTTGACCATTGTTCTTAGCCCCTGGACCCCTCATTTCCTTACCTTTAAAATGGGATGATTTTAAAGGTAATTGAGTTGATGTGAGGAATAAATTCAGCTATGCATGCTGTAAGAAGTCTAGAGAAGAAACAATCAATGGATGTTGCTTTATTATTTTCATTGTCACTATCGTCATTATTATTATTTGATGTTGAGAGGGAAGGATGAGGAGGAGTATGGGCAGATGCCTTTGTGTCTAGCTTTCACTTCTGTGGATGCGAAATGGGAGAATTCAGGGAGAGGAGCACATTTTGGATGAGGACAAATTCAGGCTTTGGAAAACAATCACAAATTTGTAGGAAATTATCGCAAAATGTGCGGAGAGATCCTGTAAACCCTTTACCCAGACTTCCCCAATGTTAATGTCTTGCATCACAAACAGTATCAAAACCAGGAAATAAACATTTTTAAAATCCACAGAGCTATTCAAAGTGTACGGGTTATACGTGGATTGGGACGTCCGCACGTGCATCGCTGTGTGTAATTTCATTACATGTGTGGTTCCTGTGTTGTGCCACAATCCAGACACTTAACTACCATCCCTGCAAGGCTCCTGTGTATTACCCCTTTCTTATCGCACCTACCCTCTCTCCCCACCACCTCTAATCCCTGGAAACCACCAATCCTCCGTTTCTGTAATTGTCATTTCATGAATGTTACATAAATGGAAACATGCAGTACATATGTATCTTTTTGAGGTTGCTGGTTTTTTTTTCTCTCTCTCTTGGCATAATTTGAGGTTCATCCAAGTTACAGTGTGAATTAGTAGTTCATTCCTTAGA